ACACAAGGTTCTATGTGAGCTCTCAGGCTCACCCCATTTTGGATCTAACCCTACACAACACACTGTAAGTTTTCGGAATTGACCTGTAGGATAGACCACTGCCCAGGTCCCAGGCTTGCCAGGGGGTAGTGCACACATAAACAGATCCTAATAGTACTGGGAAAAACCTTTTAAAACTGAACTGATACCAGAACTACAGCTACTATTATGCCTAAAATTTGGAGATAAAAACTATTAAGTCTTTGTGCATTTATGTGTATGTATGTTTAGATATTTTTATGTTATGTACATATGTTATATGTGCCTACATTGGCTTATGAATAGAACAAATAGTTCTCAAGCTAGAACGTGACCATGCTGTGGTTGATTTGGCTAATGCTTTTTAAAGTATTCCTTTAGCAGAAGATTCGCAGGACCAGTTTGCCTTCACTTGGGAAGTCCAACCATGAACTTTCCAGATGTTGTCACAAGGTCCCTGCACAGCCCCACCATCTGTCACAGGATGGCTGCACAGGACCTGTCTAGACTCCCTTTGCCTCCCTGTTTCCATTTCACTATTGATGCTAATCTAAGAGTCTCTTAGATCTGGAGCCTGCTCTGTAGACTGTCTTTAAGCTGTAGACAGCTTAAAGAAAGGAGGATGGAAAGTTAACTCCTAAAAGACAGGGGCCGGCGTGGCTGTCAAATTCCTGAGAGTTACCTGGTTGGGTCAGATACATGATATGCCCAGAGCTGTTACTGACAAAATAGCAGCTCCAGATTCAAGGATGGCTCAAAAAGGTCTTAGACTAAGAGTCTTCCAGAGCCAATACAGATTTTAAATGAGCCACCCACCACCACATATGGCATCACTGCCTGTGAATGGTTGGCAAGGACTATAGAACAGGCTCCACAAACCCTCAGGGTCACATCTGAAGCACCAAGCCAGGGCCCTGAAGCAGGTGGCCAGACCATCCTCCTGAGAACACCAACAGGCCTAAAACTGAGCTGGAAGGTACCTCCATACTCAGCTGGTTTTATGGTGCCAAAGGTTGCTACTGTGAACTAAAGATCTTAAGCACCCCCAACAGACTGAATACACTCCCTCTTGGCCAAGGGCTCCCCCCTCCTTAAAGCTGGGTTGTCAGCCATAAGGGAGATTAGACAAGCCTAGTTACGACCTGTCCCTTTTGGAGTTACTTTTGTAAGAACAAGATACAAAATCATTAACAAGACTAAGGCCAAATAAGATGAAGGTTAAACCACACCTGTAGGTCACCAATTTGTGTAACAGATCATTTGAGTCTGGGCATATATCTGGTGGCTTCTCTCTGATTAACAACATCCTTATCTTCACTTAAAACATTCCAAGCCTCTAGACAAAGCTTCATTTCTTTAACCAATTGCAAATCAAAGAATCTTTAAATCACCTATAACCTGTAACCCCCCCCCCCACTTTAAGATGTCCTGCCTTTTGGGGCCAATGTATGCCTTCCACATATTGATTTATGATATGTGTAATTCCTGTCTCCCTTGGATAAAACCAAGCTGTAATCCAACTACAAGTTCACTTGCTCAAGGCTTCTGGGATTCACTCTCTGGGCCAGGGTCACATATATTCACCTTAGACTAAACTTCTTTAAATTATTTCAGAGTTTGGATTCTTGACACCATGAAAATAGGCGACACCATGAAAATAGGCGAAGCTGAGGTGACTCCAACTGTCACGAGTTCTGTTAAACATTAAAAGCCAAAGTCCTTGTGATACCACCACACAAAGACATCAATACCAGCTATAGGCATCATGGTAAGTGGCGCAGGCAAGGCTGTTGTGCCCGATTCTGGGAGGGAGCCTCATGTGGTGCTGTAAACCAGCTTCAAAGCCTGCAGCAGCCTCCCTGGAAGGGCCTATGGGAGAAACTGCATCAGCAATAATGTCACAGGGAATGGAGTCACCTCCAGGAGTCCCTTCTAACACCTGTGTCTGCGCTCATAGGCTGTTGCTCCTGCTGTCTGAGGCAAGCGGCAATGTCTTTTCAGGTTGGGCTGCAACAACAGTAGCGGTCAGCAACAGTCGAGCTGTTGGGTATGTGGATACCTGCCCTTGTCCAATGGGGGTGGGAGGCCATGGGACGTGCTGCCTGTGATATCACAGAACCAGAGTGACTGGACAAAAATCACTTCAGGAGGACAATTCTACTAGACACAATTGGCATCTACCTCCACCTGAATCCTTCCCACCTGCCAACTGTAAAGGAAACTGACAGACATGTCTTTGCATTAGTAAGGCAACACATTACCATCACCTGCAGCTAACACATATCAGTTTGGGTGGGTTAACATGGATGATAGCTGGACATGGGATATTACACCGGAAGGCCTCTCAATGTATAGAAAAACACAATTATATCACAGAGTTCTCCACTGCCCCCAGCTGATGGGCTGGCTGCCCCTTCAGCATGCACCTACACTGACAAAAGTATGGGAGTTCAAATGGTCAAGGAGACATCAGTCCCTAAAAACTGGGAGTTTATCCCGCACCTTTAGGGGCTGGTTAGTTATGTGGTGCACACTTGGTGGACTGGCAGGTGTGCAATGGGGTGGCCTTTCTTGCCAGGGATTATACACACAGCCCCACACATGGTGCCCCACAATGTAAAGGCCCTGAGAGCCCATTTCCCCAGGCCTTTAGCCTGGTCAGGATGGCCCTTAAGCATTAGTTTCTGGGGCGGGAGCATTAGATACTCTTACTTAAGTCACAGATCTTGCTCAATTCACAGCCAAAGCATTAAAGCATATAAAGGAAGGTGTGTCATCACTAAATCAAAAACTGCACAAATGAGGAAAGTGGTCTTACAAAATAGAATGGATCTGGACATGCTCACTGCAGCTCAGGGAGGAACTTACACTTTAATAAGAGCCACCTGTTGAGCACACAGTGCAGACAATGTTACTAATGCTTTAAATTATTTAAGTGCTAAAATCAATAATATAGAAAAATTAAGAGTCTTTGATTCTTTTTCTGGTTATATTCTTTGCCTATGCATTGGAGTTATGTTTCACTAATTAGCATAATAACACAATTAGCATTTGTGTTTGTTGTTGTTGCATATACTGTGGGTGTGGAGCATATGCAAGAGCCACTGCCATGAGATACAAGCCATGGTAAAAATTGTAGCTGTTGTATCCCCTGGTCCCTGCTCAGGACCAATGTGGAAGATGAACAGAAAGGATGTAAGAGCTGAGAAATGGGGTGGATTGAGGAAAGAATACAAGTTCCCACCACTGGCTTTAATGTTTAACAGAACTCGTGCAGGTTTCTTTTAAACTTAGCGATATAGATCCAAGCAAGTAGAAAGAAATACAAAGCACAAAGGATATTCTTAAGTAGTTCCTTTGCATAAATAGACATAAGTATTCAGGCCAATTTAAACTGTTTCAAGTTGCCTTACTTCCCTTTAGTTAATTGTAATACTAAAGTCCCCACCTAATGAGAAGTGCTGTGCACACAGTATGTAAATATGGAATGATGCAGAGAGGGATGCTCTGTGGCACTTGCCAGAGAGAAATTTAAGGATCCCCAAACGGGTAGGTGGTGTGGGTCTCACTCTCTCAGGAGTGATTGGAGGATCCCCATCATAACTAGCAATGAGATCCCTGTGTAGGGAATCTCTAGTAAATTCATCTAACTAGCCAAGTTGGATTCATCTGAGGCATTTTTGGTCTCTTGACACTGTGTCAGTTTGGAGAGCAGTTTTTCTACACTGTCTCAGGATTTTTCTGAAACAGGCCCACAGTGGTCAGTTACCATGTGGACATGGTAACTGTTGCCTCTAGCTGAGACACTGCAGTTGTAGATGAGATCACTGGATTGGGCATCTATGAGAGGGGAGGGGGAGATGGAGCTGGGCCCTGTGCCCTGTGGTGATGACAGCCCTCTGGCCATGGCAGTGAGATCTGCAAGTCACAGGTTTAGCTTTCCTGAGGCCTGTTTAACCTTTAAATGGATTGTGTGAGATAATATAGTATTCCTGAATCATGACCTTGAACTTCCAATTGATGCGGGATGTCACACTTCCTAAGCAGTGTGCATGTGGGTGGGGGTGTAGAGAGTGGGTTAACTCTGGGTACCCAGGTGCACAGGCAGCCCTGGGCTCCTGTCAGCACCAAGTTACACTTCTGTGGACTCCAGGCTTCCACAGCCAACCCTCACATTTTGAATACGGTGGTTGGCCTAGGTAAAGAGGATTCTTTCTGAAGTTTTATTTTTATTTATTTATTTTTTAGAGACAGGGTCTTGCTCTATTGCCCAGGCTAGAGTGCAATAGTGTCGTCATAGCTCACTGCAACCTCAAACCCCTAGGCTCAAGTGATCCTCCTGCCTCCTGAGTAGCTGAGACTACAGGCACCACCACATCTGGCTAATTTTTTTTTTTGTAGAGACAGGGTCTTAATATTGTCTAGGCTGGTCTCAAACTCCTTGCCTCTAGCAATCCTCCTGCCTCAGCTTCTGAAAGTGCTGGGGTTATCAGTGTGAGCTACCATACCTAGCTTTCCTGAAGCTTTAAAAATCCAATATGGTTTCAACATTAGGCTCACATTAGGGAATCAGCTTTTCTTTATACTATTGTTCAAAACCTACATATTTCATATTCCCCACAGCATTTCATTCAGTGGGCCCATGATTTAGCTACCAAGAGGTCACAGATACAAATATTACAAAGTAAACTATTAGGGCTAGACTTGCCCTTGCCCAGCTTGGGGTCAGCACCTCCACATGCAGTCTTCATTTCAAGGGTCTGCCTATGTTTTTTTTTTTTTTTTTTTGAGACAGAGTCTCACTCTGTTGCCTGGGCTAGAGTGCTGTGGCGTCAGCCTAGCTCACAGCAACCTCAAACTCCTGGGCTCAAGCAATCCTTCTGCCTCAGCCTCCTAAGTAGCTGGGACTACAGGCATGCACCACCATGCCCGGCTAATTTTTTCTATATATTTTTAGTTGGTCAATTAATTTATTTCTATTTTTAGTAGAGACGGGGTCTCACTCTTGCTCAGGCTGGTTTCAAACTCCTGACCTCCAGCGATCCACCTGCCTCTGCCGGTTCTGAGTGGTACAGAACCTGCACACCTGGCACCTCTACACCTCCCCGTGCCTGTGAGTTCTCTGATGCCGCGTGAAGAAGCCCAGGTGGCGGAAGCCTTTTCCACAGCGGTCACACTCGTAGAACTTCCTTGTCAGGTGTAGCCTCTGGTGGATGCTAAAGCCCTTGGGCCACCGGAAGGCCTTGCCACACTCGGCACAAGTGTAGGGCTTCTCCCCACTGTGAACCCTCTGGTGGTGGCTGAGGTTCTCCTTGGTGCGGAAGGCCTTGCCACAGTCAGGACAGTAGAAAGGCCTCTCCCCAGTGTGCACCAGCTGGTGTCTAAGGAGGTTGGACTTCTGCTTGAAGGCTTTCCCACAGTCACCACACGAGTAGGGCCTATGCTCAGTGTGGACTTTGCAGTGCTGAGCGAGACGATCTTTCAAGCTGAAGGCTTGTCCACACACCTCGCAGCAGAAGGGCTTCTCACACGTGTGGTTTCTCTGGTGGCGCAGAAGGTTTGAAACCCACCTGAAGGTCTGGCCACACTCGGAGCATTCAAAGGACTTGGTCCCCGTGTGCACTGTCTGGTGAGCAACCAGCCGGCTGTGGCAGCTCAGTACCTTCCCGCACGTGCCACAAATGAATGAGAGCTCAGAGGCATGGTGCTTCTGGGGCTTTCTGAGGCCAGGCCGATGCCCACGGCACTTCCCACGCACCTTGCACTGGAAAGCTACAGGCCTATCATCTTTCCTTTCTGAAGCACTTCTAGGAAGCTGCACATTACCTGAGTTCAGACAGCTCTTCCTAAAAACAATTCCTTTCTCAGCTCTTTCTTGAATGTGGATTTTCTTGTAAACCCAAGTTGGCCAATCACAGTGTCTCCTCTGGTCAATGGATTTCTCTGCCCCTAGGGAGGAAAATGGATACACTTACACAAAGCTGGTGGCCCCACGGACAGGCCAGACTAGGCCACGCAGTGGCAATCCCACAAAGCATAAAGAAAAGCTACTGGGCCGAGCACAATAGCTCACATCTGTCATCCTAGAACTTTGGGAGACTGAAGTGGGAGGATCGCTTAAGCCCAAGTGTTAAGACCAGGTGAACATAGCAAGACCCTGTCTCTACAAAAAATAAGAAAAATTAGCTGGGCATGGTGGTGCGTGCCTGTAGTCCCACCTACTTGGGAGGCTGAGGCAAAAGGATCGCTTGAGCCCAGGAGTTCAAGGTTACAATGAGCTATGATTGTATCACTGTATTCCAGCCTGGGTGACAGAGCAAGACCTTATCTCTAAAATAAAATAAAAGAAAAAGAAAAGCTACTAAATGTGAAGCTACTTATTTAAATTTACTCAGGAAGATCATTCCCAAAAGACTGCATATAAATGATGAAGAAAATGTGCTCAAAGCACCATATAGATAAGCTAAAAACAGTGGAAAATGTAAAATGAACTCAATGCTCACTCACACTAGGTATTTCTTTTTTTTCTTTTGAGACAGAGTCTCACTCTGTTGCCCGGGCTAGAGTGCCATGGCATCAGCCTAGCTCACAGAAATCTCAATCTCCTGGGCTCAAGTGATCCTTCTGCCTCAGCCTCATGAGTAGCTGGGATTACAGGCATGTGCCACCATGCCTGGCTAATTTTTTCTATATATTTTTTTAGTTGTCCAAGTAATTTCTTTCTATTTTTAGTAGAGACAGGGTCTCGCTCTTGCTCAGGCTGGTTTCGAACTCCTAACCTTGAGCAATCCACCTGCCTCAGCCTCCCAGAGTGCTAGGATTACAGGCGTGAGCCACCGGCGCCCAGCCCCACACTAGGTATTTCTGACATGAGGAAGTACCACAAGTTGGTTTAAATGGCCTCATAGCTTGTGTGTGCATGTGAACCTACCTACAGAAACAAGATATCACATAGGACAAACCTGTGCCTATCTGTGTCACAAAGCCCTGTTCATGCAGATGGACAGGCTGCCCAGGTGGCCACATGGAAGCTACAGGAGCTTGCCACAAATCGGAGCCATGGGCCCTCTGAGCCATAAGCTTCCCTCCAACCAAGGACTCAACATCCTTCCCAGCTGAAGGCCCCCAGCTTGTCTCGTGTTCAAGCAGCTGCTTGACTTTGCCTCTGAAAAAACCTGAAGTAGAAAACAAACCCCGAGACTACCACCTCATTTAAGAAAGGAAACAACGCTATTGTCCCAGTTTCAAAAATGAGCACAAGAGTGCCAACAGCAAAGTCCCCACCCAGAGACCCACACTTCTCACATTCAGCAGGTGTGTCAGGCTTGTGACCTCATCTGTGACCCCGTGTGGTCATCAGTTAGGCCACAGACACCACACTCACGATCTCCACAGGACAGTACCGGGGTGGAATCTAGCCTTTGGTGTCACCCTACTGCCTCAGGCTCCACCCGAGCTGTGCACTGTTGCTCCTGCCCCAGACCATACAGCCCCTGGCACACGGTCAGTGTCCCCCGGTGTAGCAGCATGGCGGCCACTGTGTGTTGCTAAAGTCTCTCTCATTAGAAAACATTTTGTGTCTCTTAGCTGGTGCTGTGTGGTAAGTGCACACCCCAGGAGCCATGGGAACAGAGGAGCCAGCCCAGCCAGCCCACCTGGTGCTCACCTGGGTAGGGACCCCTCGGTACTTTCTGAGACTCGAGTCTCTCCCAATCCTCAACCCGTGGCTCATCCCACTGTTGTAGGCAAGAGATGAGGTCTGGTCTGGGGCTGCAAAATCCTTCTCAAAAAAGAGAAAAGGTACTGTTTTATTTGTAGAGAGGATAAGTGAGGGTCCAGGGCTCACACTGGCTGGGGGTCAGCAGAAGACAAACCCAGGGAGGCCAGGCCAGCCCACAGGGATCCCCTGGAGAAGCTGCCTCAAAGCAGCGATGACAGGAAGGGGGAAGGGAATGTGGACGCCATCCCCACTAGGGCTCCAAGGCCCGCAGAAGGCACTGGTGGAGTCTGAGGAAGGAAGATAAGGTTGCCTCCCAGGTAGTCCAACAAAGTCTGACACTGACCAGACTGGATGTGGGACAGGCCCTCTGTCCACCCAAGCCAATAACTTCCAGCTGCTCAGCCCCCAATACCGCCCTGGACCAGACAGGCTCCAGAGGCAACAGTGTGGCCCTTACCCAGCGTGGCCAAGATCCTGAAGTTGTCCAGCATCACGTTCCGGTAGAGGGCCCTCTGGCCAGGGTCCAGATACTCCCACTCCTCCCTCGAGAAGTATACAGCCACGTCCTCGAAGGTCACTCTCTCCTGCAACACAAACAGCTCCAGAACTGGCCGTCCTGAGAGACAGAAAGAGATGGCTACAACCCTGTGTCTGGGCAGGAAGTGGGGAGGGAGGCAGATGGTCTTCAAGGGGGAAGAACCTCAAGAAGCCCACAGCTAGAGCACAGGGAAGGCCCGTTATGAAGGGAATGTCTGCATCCCCACATGCACATGCTGAAGCCCTGGGCCCTATGTGGCTACATTTGGGGATAGGGCCTTGAAGGAGTAATTAAGGTTAGATGAGGTCATGCGGGGCCCTTATCTAATAGGACTAGTGTCCTTATGAGACACTGGAGAGCTCCCTGGCCCTCTCCCCAAACACATGTGAGGACATTGCATGACGGCCACTGTCTACAATCCAGGGCCCTCATCAGAAAGTGTATATGCTAGCACCTTGATCTTGGACTTCAACCTTCAGAACAGAGAAAATAAATATCTATCTTTTAAACCATCCCTGCCTGTGATATTTCATTATGACAGCTCTAGTGGTCCCAGACAGTACCTAAGAGAATTAAGTACATTTTCCTAGTTTTCTATAACATCTGCTAACTCTTAATGTAAACAAATAAAATTTTCTTTTCTTTTTCCCCACCCTATAAAAGAGAACTAGCAAAAAGGTGGGCACAGGCACAAGGCCACAGATCCCTCCCCACATGTGGGCTGGGGCCATGACAGCCTGCAGGGCAGAGGGGAGGCCACACTTTGCAGCAGCAGCCGACAGGCTCACCTGGGACACGTCCATGGAACAGCAGGGGCCAGCCCCTCTGGGGAGATACAGGGCCCAGGAACAGCCGATCTGGGGAGCCAGAGAAGTGTGAGTGGGGGCCACCAGCTTGGGAACCCCCACCTGACCCAAGAGCCCCACCTGCTCAGTGAACTAAGGGGAACTCAGGAAAAGCCAGCAACAGGCACACACACACATGCAGGGTCTGCTCTGTAAACCACCAATATCCACCAGTGGGACACTTAATATTTACAATAACAAAAAATCAAATACTGACAAATACATTTAAAAAGTATTATCTTGCTAGTTCTTGTGGCCAACTGTAAAATAAAATAAAATAAAATAAAATAAAAAGTATGTAACTTCTCTACTCTCAGTTACAAAACATTGCTGAGCAAAACTGATGAAAATATATTGAGAGATATCCCATGTTTTCAGTTCTCCCTAACCTGATCTATAGATTCAACACAACTCAAAGCAAAATCTCAGCAGGCTTTTCCTAAAAATTAATAGATTTATTATAAAATTTATGTGAAAATGCAAAGAACTTCAAACAATCAATCTTGAAGAACAGTTAGAAGACTTACATTACCTGATTATAAGGGGACAGAATAGTGTCCAGGAATAGACCCACACATACAGTTAAGTGTTTTACGACAAAAGCATCAAGGATTTAAAAAAGTTTTTTTTTCAATTAATGATGCAGGAACAATAAAGGAAATATTAACCTTGAAACCCCCTACCTCACACCACACCCCAATAATTCAAGATGGATCATGGAACTAAATGTAAAAGCTGAAACTAAAAGCTTCTAGAAGTAAAAAATTACATAATCTCTTCATAACATTGGGGTAGGCAAAGATTCCTCCCATGGATCCTCAAAAGCATTACCCTTAAAAGAAAAACATATATAAATTGGACTTTATCAAAATTTAAAATTTCTGCTTATTGAAAAACAGTTAAGAAAATGAAAAGACAAATCACAGATTGAGAGAAAATATTCCCGATGCATATATTTGACAGAGAACTCACATCCAGAGTAACTCCTACAAATCAATAATAAAAGAAAAATAAACTTTAAATTGGCAAAATATTTGAACAGACACTTCCATGAAAGTTATACACTGGTCTATAAACACATGAAAGGGCACATTGAGCACATGGGTTATGGGTAGAGTTTGTGAATCAGAAACTATGAGCTCCTCTAGCAAGTAATAATTACCACAGCGGTAAAAATAAGAACAGCTCCCCCATCTGAGCATCCACTGTTTGCTACAAACTGGGCTGGACTCAGGAATCTGCAGAGAGTAAGAGAGGGAACTGTCCGAGATATGGCAGGAAGTAGGCAAGGACCACATCACCCACGGCATCCTGAGCCATGGTTTTATGTGAAATGCAGTGAGAGTTTAATACAGAATACCGTGATAAGCTACATTTTTAAAAGATCCCTCTGTGGTGAACAAATCAGAAAATAGCAAGACAAGATGGGAGCGAAGACAGTGAGACCATCATTAAGAGACAGTCCAGGCCGGGGGTGGTGGCTCACGCCTGTAATCCTAGCACTTTGGGAGGCCGAGGCGGGCGGATTGCTCAAGGTCAGGAGTTCGAAACCAGCCTGAGCGAGACCCCGTCTCTACCAAAAATAGAAATAAATTAATTGACCAACTAAAAATATATATACAAAAAATTAGCCGGGCATGGTGGCGCATCCCTGTAGTCCCAGCTACTCGGGAGGCTGAGGCAGTAGGATCGCTGAGCCCCGGAGATTGAGGTTGCTGTGAGCCAGGCTGATGCCACGGCACTCACTCTAGCCTGGGCAACAAAGTGAGACTGTCTCAAAAAAAAAAAAAAAGAGATAGTCCAAGTAAGAGAGGAAGGTGGCTGAGATAGAGACACGGAGGGTGGGAATGGCGAGTCAACACACCCGAGGCTGACCGTGTGCTTGGGTATGGGCAGGAAGGAGGACGGAGACGTCTTAGCCTTCTCACCTCCGTGGCGAACCAGTGGGTGGGGGTGTGGAGACTACAGGAGCTCACCCTGGGGCAGGACAAGCCTTTGGCTGTTTTTGATATTTAGTAGGCAGCTGGACATAAGTGTCCGGATCTCACTGGAGCTGGAGACAGATTTGGAAGTTGCCTATGGACAGCTGAGACGATGATCACGGACAGGGTAACGGGGAGAGTCCAGCAGGAAGAGAAGATGGATCCTGGCCCTGACAAACATGGAGAAGTGAGGGCCGAGTAGGGGAACGTGAGCTGGAAACAGAACAAGTAACTACCCGAGTTAGCCAGGGGCACTCGCGACCTCCAGGGAGACGCGTAGCTGCCGCTACGCTGCGTCCCCTCAGCCCTCAGGCACCAGGATGGCCGCAGAGCTGGAGGCGTCAACCAAGGACCCCGACCACCAGGGACTCGGGGCGGCAGTCGGTGCGGTGGATCCAGCGCACTCACCAGCAGTGCCTCCTCAGCCAGGTCCTGCACCCACGCCGCCACTCCAGCCGCTCGGACTTATACAAACTTCCCGAGCGGAAGTTGTTCTTCCACCGCCGGAAGCCACTTCCGCCCCCTCTAGGAGTCAGCGTCTCGGTGGTGCACGCTGGCCGACCCCGGCGCCAGCCCAGCCGGCTGCTCCGCCCCGGCTGACGGTCGGGGCTCGGCTCCTCAGCGGTCTCAGTTCCTGCGCACGCACTCTCGGCGCTGCGGGTGCGGGGACTGGGACGACATGGCCCCACCCCTCCGAGTTTTCAGCTCCTGGCGTCCCCCGTTGCTCTCCCCCACTGTCCATCTGCATCAGGTATCCACCTGGCCAAAGTCAGTTCTCTGGGATGTGCTAGTGCAGCCCCTCTGGCTCCGTCATTTCCACGCACATTGTGCAGCCATCCTTCCTCACGGGCTGCTGGCCGCCTCCCTGGAGTCTAGGCGGCAACGCCCTGCGCCCCCAAGACCGCCTATCTGCTACCTTCGATGGCAAGATTTTATTTTAATCTCCCAAATGTTCTTCAGGATGATTTTATTTTTAATTGTGGTAAAATACAGGTAACAAAGTTTGCCAACTTAACCATTTTTAAGTGTTCAGCTCAGTAGTGTTAAGTACATTCACATTTCTGAGCATTTTATCTCCCAAACTCTCTCCATCTTGCAAAACAGAAACTCTGTACCCATTAAACAATTCTCCATTGTGCTCCTCTCCCGCGGCACCTGGCAGCCATTATTCTACTTTGATCCCATGAATTTGACTGCAGCAGGTACCTCGTGTAAGTAAGATTCACACAGTATTTGTCCTTCTGTAACTGGCTTATTTCACTAATCATGATGTCCTGCAGGTTCATCCATGTTGGAGCATGTGTCAATTTTATTCCTTTTTGTGAATGAATAATATTCATTATATGCATATACCACACTTTGTTTATGCATTGGTGGACACTTGGGCTGCTGTCAACATGAGGGTACAAATATCTGTTTGAGTTCCTGTCTTCACTTATTTTGGGTAAATATCCAGAAGTGGAATGTCTGGATCATGTGGTGATTCTACCTTTAGCTTTTTGAGGAACAGCCATACTGTTTTCCTTTGGAAGTGAACTATTTACATTCCCAACAGCAGTGCACAGGGTTCTGACTTCTCCACATCCTCACCAACACCTGTTATTTTTCTATTTTGAGTTCTGTTTTTTATTTGTTTCATTTTTTTCTTCTCATCAATAGCCATCCTAATGGGTATAAAGTGGTATCTCATTATGGGTCTTTATTTGCATTTCTGTAGTAATTAGTGATGTTCAGCAGAGAATCTTTTCATGTGCTTATTGGCCATTTATATTTCTTCTTTGGAAAAATGTCTATTCAAGTCATTTTTCCATTTTTGAATAGGGCTTTTTAGTATTGTTTTTTAGTAGTTCTTTACATATTTTGCATATGAATCCCCTATTAGATATGTGATTTGCAAATATTTTCTCCCATTCTGTGGGTAGTCTTTTTACTCTGTTAATAGTGAACTTTTATGCAGAAAAGATTGTAGTTTTGATGAAGTCCAGTTTGGTTGTTTTTTCTCATGTTGCCTGTGCCTTTAGTGTTATATCCAATAAATCATTGACAAAACCAACGTTGTGAAGCTTTTGCTTTCTAGTTTCTTCTAAGAGTTATAGTGTTTTAGGTCTCACATTTAGGTCTTTGTTCAATTTGAGTTAATTTTGGTATATTGGCCTGGCATGGTGGCTCACGCCTGTAATCCAAGATCTTTGGAAAGCTGAGGCAGGAGGATTGTTTGAGGCCAGGAATTTGAGACCAGCCTGGGCAACATAGCAAGCGCCCATCCCTACAAAAACAAAACAAAAAAACAGCCAGGTGTGGTGGTGCATAGCTGTAGTCCCAGCTACTTGAGAAACTGAAGTGAGAGGATCCCTTGAGCCCAGGAGTTTGAGGTTACAATGATCTGTGATTCCAGCCTGGGCAACAGAGTGAGACCTTGTCTTGGAAAAAAAATGAGAGAGAGAAGAAAAAATTGCATATGGTATAAGAGTCCAACTTTTGTATATGAATATCAAGTTTCCCAGCACCATTTGTTGGAAAGACTGTCCACTCCCTTGTCGAAAATCATTTGATCGTATATTTGAAGGTTTATTTCTGAGCTCTGTGTTCAGTTCCACTGATCTACATGTCTGTCTTTATTCTTATACCAGCAAAAGATTTTGTACCTATGGGTGCTGGTGACATGGGGCCTCAACAGATCAAATATATACGTACTGTATGAGATTCCATTTATATAACATTCTTGAAAAGATAGAATTATAGAAATGGAGAGAACAGATTAATGGTGGAAAGCCATGAAGGAGGGGTTGGGGAGGGGAGGGAAAGGAGTTCGTGTGGCTATAAAAGGGTAACCTGAGGGATATTGGCAGAGGGACTATCGTGTACCCTGACTGTATGGATGTCAGTATCCTGGTTGTGGCCTAGGACAGGGTTCAGGACACTACAGCTGGGGGAGGGAAAGGGCACTCAAGAATTATACCTTACAGCTGCACACGAAGCTACAATTATCCCAAAAAGCTTAATTAAGATAAACAAAAGTCTAGTATCTGGCCACTGAATACAGAAAAGAAGAAAAAATGAGGAAAAGGTTAAGGAAATAAATAGAAGTGTCCCTGCCTGGCTGCCAGATCTAATTAAATTAGGGTGGGGATGCCTGGCTGCCCCAGGTAAGCCGTTGGAAACCCAGGCTAATACCGCTGCTTCTGTGGCCCCCACCTGGCTCCCCCAAGCGCCGGGCACAGCTGTGGACGAGGGGGCGCAGACACCACGTGGAAGGCCCAGCGTGCCCGGTTCGCGGACACGAAGACTCCCCAGCCAACGGCACCTGCTGCAGCTGCGGCTTCGGCGACGGGTCTCCGCCGCAGAGACAGTCAGTAGGGCTGGGAACCGCGCAGCTCGGCTCGGGTTGTGTCCCGCTCGCCCCGCAACTCGGTCCACAGCAGTCACCCCTCCACGCACCGGTTACGCGACCCTCCCCGCGCCCGGGAAAGGCGAGCTGGCTCAGCGCCCCTAGCCCCATCCCACCCCCACCCCCGCCCCACCCTCATAGGCTTTCCCTATCCTGGAGCACGCCCCCTTCAACCTGGGCTTCCCGCCGACCCGAAGACAAGCTCCAAGGAGTCCTCCTGGATTCCTAGAGCGGCCCTGGCAGTACCGGAGGAAAACTGTGCACAGGTGGCCGCCCTGCTCCGCCTCCCGTCCGGTCGCGCTGGAGTGGGAGGCGGTCTCCGCCAGGGGCGGCCTCCCGGAGCGGTCTTGACCCCGACTCAGAGTCTGGGCGGCCTGAGCTCCGCTCGACCTGTGCTGCCCCACTGCGTGCCTGGGGGTGTCTGGGCGGCCTAGTGGGCTCGGCCCCGCACGCAGTCCAGGGGCTTGACTTGCCCTTGGCCCCACTTCAGCGCCCCACCCCTCGTTCTCCAGGGCCTCAGCCGGGCTGGCGAGCATCCCGTTAGCCTTGAGGGCCCCACTCGCTTCAACAGGACGTGCAAGGGACTCGGTGCTATACTGGCGTGCGGCGGGTGCTTAATATTAATAGATGCTTCCTGAGTTGGATGAACATGAGGGATCCAGTTACGTGTGAAGTGGTGGCAGTACTTCCCGTGGGAGGAGGAACCGAGCCTAGACCTGGGTCAGGGGAGCCCCACGGTACTGTCCTGCCGGAGAATTTTAGGACCTGGGTGGAGCTAACAAAAGTCGGTCCTCCAAGTAGCGCTTGGGATCAGGCTTCGGTGTGGAGGGCCCAAGGGGACAAAAGCAGAATGAGGAAGCATGAATTTTCCTGCTTGACAGAAAGCAGGACACTGGGTGCGCTTCCCAAGTGCTGCTGGCAGGAGCAAGAAGAAAACACAAGTGCATAACCAGGAAGAGAAGCACCTTACTCCTGCAGGGCCCCTCCAGCGCCCTCTACTTAAACAGCTTAACATTGTACCAGCTTTAATTTAGGGCCCAGCTCCATTTTTATGGAGCAGGTTGAAATATGTATTTGAAGCTGAAAGGCAATATATATGGATAACTGGCAGTTTCAAGGCTCAGTTGGACCCCTGTATACCTAGGATTCACTCTGCATGTCCCGTAGTCAGTCCTCTCTCTGATTCTCCAAGTAGCTCTTTCTACTCTCCTTAAACTTGTGTCTTATTTTACAGAGAAAACACATTATGTATATTCTATGTAAAATAAGACACAAGCTTATCTTCTGAGTGAGAAGATGGTGGGGTGTTTAAGGGTGTTTAAGGAGTGTTGAAAGAGCTTGGCGAATCAGAGCACTGACTAGGGGAAAGAAGAGGAAATTTGGATGCACAGGGACACAGGGAATGTGTGTGAACGCAGGAGAATGACCACGTGAGGACAGGGCAAAAAGGAGGCCATCTGCAAACCAAGGAGAGAGACCTCAGGAGAAACTACACCTGCTGACAATTTGATCTCAGACTTCTGGCCTACTTGAGAAAAAATAAATTTACGTTTAAGTAATTCAGTTTATGGTATTTTTTAATGGCAGCTCAAGCTAATACACTACCAGTACTGGACTACTTTATAACTTGTAGAGGCCATGGAAACAGACCTGTGAGGGGGGTGGAGTTTCCCTTGAAAGAAATAAATGCTTCCACCAATAATCATCCTGGAGAGAAGTTAATCATAAAGGAAGGTGTGCAAAAGGACTGGTAGTGAGGGTAATCACCTTCCCTCCTGGGCTGGGAAAGAAGGAATGATGTGGGCTGGATGCAGTGGGTCATACCTGTAATCCTAGAACTCTTGGAGGCCAAGGCAGGAGGATCGCTTGAGGTCAGGACTTTGAGACCAGCCTGAGCAAGAGTGAGAGCCCGTCTCTACTAAAAATAGAACAATTAACCAGGTGTGGTGGTGCATGCCTATAGTCCCAGCTACTCAGGAGGCTGAAGCAGGAGGATCACTTGAGCCCAGGAGTTTGAGGTTGCTGTGAGCTAGGCTGATGGCACAGCACTCGCCCAGACAACAGAGACTCCATCTCAAAAAAGTTTAAAAAAGAAGGGATGATGTAGTCCTAGTGGTAGCAAGAGGCTGGTCCTAGCTAGGCAGAGGGGCCCAGGAAGTCCGTGCTGGGGATGGACAACTTGTACCCACATTGGTCAAAGTAACTGCTAGCGAGCACTGGTTCCTGCACCAGGTATGGCTCCTCAACCTGGGACTTATCAGCCTTAATTGTAAGAAATTCCTTTTATTTATAAATTACCCAGTTCCAGGTATTCTGTTATACACAATGGAAAACTAAGACGATTACTACATCTCCACATCTCCAGCAAGACTGATCAGGATGACAGAGAAGAAAAAATTATTAACACCAAAAAAGAGAGTACATCACTTTAAATATAATTGAAATAGAATGTAAAATAGAATGCATTATAATAATGAAACTTTTGTGGTTTTTTGTTTGTGTTTTTTGAGGTGGAGTCTTGCTCTATGACTCTAACTAAATAAAATGCAGTGGTGTCATCATAGCTCACTGCAACCTCAAACTCCTGGGCTCCAGTGATCCTACTGCCTCACCTTCCAAGTAGCTGGTAGTACAGGTGCACACCACCATGCCCAGCTATTTTTTTCTATTTTTAGTAGAGATGGGGTCTCGCTCTTGCTCAGGCTGATCTTGAACTCCTGGCCTCAAGCAATGCTCCCATCTCAGCCTCCCAGAGTGCTGGGATTATAGGCATGAGCCACTATGTCTGGTTGAAATTGAATTTTTAATTAAAAAAAAAAAAATCTTCCCACAAAGAAATCCCAAAAGTTTCACTGAGGAAATCTATCAAATATTTAAGGAAGAAATGTTACATTAAAAACTTCAGAAAATAGGTGAGGACAATAATTCACATCTCTTTGGGAGCAACATTACCTTGATATCAAAAGAATGATGTACTCTCACCGTTTCTAATGAAAATTGTACAGGATGCCCTAAGTTGGTGCAATAAGGCAAGAAGAAAGAACAAAGTTCACATAAATTGGAAAGGAAGAAATAAAATTCTTTATTGGCAGATGACATGATTATTTACATGGAAAAAGCTAAAGAACCTAGAAAAAAACTACTGGAACTAATAAGTAAATTGATCTAGGTTGCTTGATACAAGGTCAATATACAAAAGTCAAATGCATTTCTATATACTAGCAATAACAATTGGAAAATAGCTTTCAAAAAACCTTACAATTTGCAATAGCATGCAGAAATATGAAATATGTAAATTTAACAAAATATGTGCAAGACCTGTACATGGAGAGAAATTAAGAGTAGACCTAAATAGAATGGTATACCATGTTTGTTCAAGAATTGGAAAACTTAGAATTGTTAAAATTTCAGTTCTCCTTAAATTGATCTATAGATCCCAGTAGGCTTTCTTTTTGTAGAAATTGAGAAGTTGACTCTAAAATTTATATGAAAATGCAAAGAACCTACAATAGTCAAAACAATTTTGGAAAAGAAAAAAATCAAAGCACTTCTGACACCTGAGTTCAACACTTGTTATAAAACTACAGTAATCAAGATAGTGTCATATTGGGGTAAAGATAGTGTCATTGGCCAGGTGCATTGGCCCATGCCTATAATCCCAGCACTTTGGGAGGCCAAGTTTGGGAGTTCAAGACCAGCCTGGGCAACATACCAAGACCCCATCTTTACAAAAATTAGCCAAGTGTGGTGGTGCATGCCTGTAGTCCCAGCTAATTGGGAGGCTGAGCCAGGAAGATCGCTTGAGCCCAGGATTTCAAAGTTACAGTGAGCTGTGATGATGCCACTGCACTCAAGTCTAGATGACATAGTGAGACTCTGTCTCTATAAAAAAAAAAAATTAAAAAAAAAAAGACCTAGATGAGAGGAAACGCATAGAGTCCAGAATAAACTGCTCTTACATGATCATTTGTTTTTACAAAAGTGTGGCGGTTTATTCAACAGGAAAGTACAGTCTTTCAACAATGGTACCAAAACAGCCAGATTCATTTTTTATCCACAATCACACAGATTAAAAAAGAATCTTGATACTTATCTCACATTGTACAAAACAATAAACTCAAAATTGGTTACAGAACTAAATGTAAATACTAAAACCATAAAAGTTCCAGAAAAGTAAAACATAGGATAAAATGATGTCCTTTGAGTAGGCAAATACTTATTAGAATTTGAAAATTATAAAATTTTTGATAAAGTAAACTTAAATTTGATATTCAAGACACCTGAAGAAAATGAAAAGGCAAACTAAACACTAAAATATTTATAATTAACATTTGGAGACTTTCAGCTAGAATAGAGAGAACTCTTACAAGTCAGTAATAACAAGGCAAATAACCCAACTTAACACCTAGACTGCCACGCTAGGAAATAAAACATTTTTCCTTGGGACCACAGTGTGTCATTACAAAAACAGAATGAAAATTTTGAAAACAAAATGATCCTAATTTAATGAAAAATTTGTCAGTTTTTTTGTTCTCTGTGAGTGAATTATATGCAACCTGAAAAATAGTTCACTCGGCTCCCAAGGTGAAGAGATGTGTGAGTTGCATATGCTTCATGAGACCCCTGGCTCAAAACTAACCTGAGTTAAATACAATTCAGATGGCAATTAATGTGTTAAAAATGAGCAAAATATGTGATACAGAATGGCAATAAGCACATGAAATCACAGATGCTTAACACCATCATTTAGCAGGCAAATACAAATGAAAATCATAAGACCAGAATGGATTAAAGTTTAAAAGACGGACAAAACCAAGTGTTAGCAAAGATGTGGAGCAACTGGAATTCTCACATACTGTGGTAGAAATAAAAATAATACAACCACTATGGAGATCCATGTGGAAATTTCTTATAAATTTAAACACACTTATTGCAATGGACTGAACGTTTATGTCCCTCTCCCCAAATTCATATGTTGAAAGCCTAGCCCCCATTGGAATGGTACAAGGAGGTGAGACTTATGCCTGTATAAAAAGGTCTGAGATGGCCAGGCGCGGTGGCTCATGCCTGTAATCCCAGCACTCTGGGAGGCCAAGGCAGGCGGATTGCTTGAGGTCAGGAGTTCAAAACCAGCCTGAGCAAGAACGAGACCCCGTCTCTACTATAAATAGAAATTAATTGGCCAACTAATATATATAGAAAAAATTAGCCGGGCATGGTGGCACATGCCTGTAGTCCCAGCTACTCAGGAGGCTGAGGCAGCAGGATTGCTTGAGCCCAGGAGTTTGAGGTTGCTGTGAGCCAAGCTGACGCCATGGCACTCACTCTAGCCTGGGAAACAAAGCCAGACTCTGTCTCAAAAAAAAAAAAAGTCCGAGAAGGTTCCCTAGCTCTCTTCACATGAGGTTACAGTGAGGAGGCTTCTACTTATGAAGTCAGCCCTCACTGGACACCAAATCGGTTGGAACTTTGACCTTGGGAATTCCCTGACTCCAGAACTGTAAGAAATACATTTCTGGTGTTCATAAGCCACCCAGTTTATGGTAATTTATTATAGCCTGGACTAAGACACTTATCTTATAACCCAGCAATTAAAGTCCTAGGTATTTACCCAAGAGAAATAAAAACACATGTACAAATACTTTTACACAAATGCTTATAGCAATTTTATTCTTAAGAGCCAAAACAGGAAACCCAAATTTCTATCAACAGGTGGTAAATAAACAAATGATGGCTTACCCGTACAATGGAGCACTATTCAGTGAAGAGAACTACTGAAACACGAAACAACTTGGTTGAGTCTAAAAACATCCCAAGTCAAAGAAGTCAGACACAAAAGAATACATACTGTATGAATCCATTTATATGAAGTTCTTGAACAAGCAAAACTAATCTACATTGACAAAGTGGTTACCTGGAGCTGGAGTGGGATTAACTATAAAAAGACAAAAGGGAATTTTAGGTGATAGAAATGTTTTTTTATTCTTGATTGTGGTGGTGGTTAAAAGGGGGTGTGGATTTTTAAAAACACTGACACTTATAATAGGTGTTTTATTATATTTATTTTATAATAGGTGTTCAATGGAAATTGAACCTCAATGTTGATTAAAATGGTCTGGTAACATCTACCTCTATACCACTTGAAACATCATTGGTAATGTTTGAGTTTTGCAGAAATGGAGTACTAGATATTGTTTTTGAATTATTTGTCCCCTCAAGGATTCTAGGGTTGGTAAAACTTAAGAGGTTAGAATATGCCCCCATTGGCAAAAAAAAAAAAAAAAAAAGTTTTATGTAATTTTAAAGCTGGTTGCTTGGGCTAGTGTTCAGATGAAAGAAATTCAGAGGCAAAGACAAACAGTTTTGCTAGATGGTTATCCACTTTGCATTAAAACTGCCTGCTACTGAACAACCCTACCAAAGGGCCATCTGTCAAGAATCCTTGTTTCTTCAGAGTCCCTCTCAGATATTTTTTCTTTAGCTGATAAATGTCCACTGATCTTGCCAGACCAGTTGTAAGTCACCTCTTCTCTGTAGCCTTCCCAGATCTTCTGTGCCAAATCGCTTCCCTCCTTATCTGTGTTCCTACACCAGTAAGAACATAATTCTATCCCAGCACTCGATGCATTGTACAGTGATCTCTATGTCCCCACTACACTCTGAACAACTTCAGGATGGATGGTGTCTTACTCATCTGTTTTCCCAATGTATAGAACTATTCCTTATAGATATCAATACACATTCAAATAAATAACATGAGTCACAAAGCATGGAAAATGACAGAAGTTGAGTTCAGTCCTGGAACTCCTACATAGTACACTGGGACTGTGCCTCTTGATGAGTTAGAAAGATGCACAGACAACTAAGTGAAGATGAGGCTGATGCCCTCCAAGTCCAGCAGACAGTTGTGAGCGAGCTGTACAGGAAGGAATTGAGCAGGAGTGTGAATTGGGTGCAGGAAATGACTGCAACTTCCAAGTCAAATGGGAGAAGACAGTAACAGGGCTGAGAGAGAAGATATTTCCAATAGAACAGATTGTATTGATACAAAACAACAAAAAAACCCAAAATTTTTAAAATATAAGTATAAAAAGGACAATGCAAGAGAAATGCCAATAATGCAGAGATTTGGGGGTATTTTTTATTGCTTCGTGCTAGACAATGGGGACAATAATCAGCCAGACATCACTGTCCTCAAGGAACTAAGCATATAATGAAAGAGATGATATATAAAATCATAACTGTAACATACCAAAGTAAGTACAGCAACAGAGGGGAGCATGGAGCAGCAGCAGCACAGACGGGCTCCCAAGCCGAGCCTGAGAGAAGCGTCCCTAATGTGCTGCCATGGTGAGTCTTGAACAGTGATTAAGAATTAATCGACTGAGAAGAGGAGGGACAATTCAGCCAAGAACAAAAGAAAAGAGGCAGGAAACAGCTTGGAGCATGTGGGGAACACGAAGCAGTTAGTGCCACTGGAGCATCATGAGATGAGGGAACATGAGGTCTTAGGATGCACAATGGGGATATTAGGAGCCTGGAGTTTATCCCAAGGACAACAGGGAACCAGTTTGTCAAGGTTTTCATAAAAGTTAGCTTTTTCCAACTGGATTTTTTGATAGGTCAAAATTGCTAGGTTACACTCTTCTAAGTAACAAGATTAGATTCACAGTTCTGCTTTAAAAGGGATTTAACTCAAAGATGGACTGTATCTGTGAATGAAACATAAATATATTGAGACCTGTCTCCTGTCCCCACGTTTCAGCTCTAAGTCAGCTGTAAAGCCCCACGGCTCTCCAAGGATAGCTGAGTCCACGGATGCTGCAAAGTGGCAGACCACAGCACAGTCCCAATGCAGCCCTGTCCATGATTCACAAAATTCTGACGTGTCCAAATCTTTGAAGCCACGTAAATCCTAATACTACTCATTTCCAAACATCACTCATTGAGTGGGAGAATTATTATTTTGTAAGTTGTCTGTGTATCCCCCTGACCTACAGATCTTTCACTTTTGTATGGGGGCCTTGCTCAAGGAGAGCCCTCTTGGTGAACACCTGGATTATTTTTAAAGTTTGAAGTTGAGTTAAAATCTTTCCCATACTGACTACATTCATAGAGCTTCTCTTCTGTATGAATTTTCTGGTGTTGAAGGAAGTTTGACCTCTGAATAAAGCCTTTCCCACAATAACTACACACATAGGGTTTCTCTCCAGTGTGAATGATCTGATGCAGAAGCAGCTTGGAACTCTGGATGAAGGCTTTCCCACAGTCTTTGCATTCAAAGGGTCTGTCCCCAGTGTGGATTTTCTGATGTTCTGTGAGATGGGCTTTCTGGAGAAATGCTTTCCCACATTCTTTACATTCATACACCCTCTCTCCAGTGTGAATTTTCTGGTGTCGAATAAGGTATGAGCTCAGAAAGAATGCTTTCCCACATTCATTACATTCATAGAGTTTCTCTCCAGTGTGAATCCTCTGATGCTGAGTAAAGTTTGACGTCTGGCTGAAACGCTTTCCACACTCATTGCATACATAAGGCCTTTCTCCAGTATGAATTCTCTGATGCTGAATGAGCTTTGAACTCCGAATAAAGGCTTTCCCACATTCATTACATTCAAAGGGTCTCTCTCCAGTGTGAATTCTCTGGTGTTCAATAAGGTCTGAGCGATGACGAAATGCCTTCCCACACTCTTTGCATTCATACTGTTTCACTTCTGTGTGGATCTGATAATGTCGAATAAGGCTTGAGCTCCTAATGAAAGATTTCCCACATTCATTACACTCATAGGGCCTTTCCCCTGTGTGAATTCTCTGATGTCGAATCAGCAAGGAGCTCTGACTGAAGCCTTTTCCACACTCTTTGCATTCAAAAGGTCTCTCTCTGGTATGAACCCGCTGGTGTCGAATCAGGTCTGAGCTATGACAGAAGGCTTTCCCACACTGCGTACACCTAAACGGCTTTTCTCCCGTGTGCACCTGCTGATGCTCGAGAAGATTTGCGTAGTGAATGAAGTCTTTCCCACACACGTTACATACATAGAATCTCTCTCCAGTATGAACCCTCTGGTGCTCAGTAAGGTGTGAGCTCTGACCAAAGCCTTTTCCACATTGATCACATTTATAAGGTTTCTCCCCGGTATGAGAAATCTGATGTCTAACTAGGTCCGAATTAAATGTGAAGCTTTTGCCACAAATATCACAAGGATGGGTTTCCCCCTCTATAAGCTCACTTTGAAGTATAAGATGGTTTGAGTTCAGAACAGGGTTTCTTCCTGACTTACTGCATGACTGGGCTGTCTCTCCTGTTTGGATTTTCCAATGGGTAACTGTCACCTGCTTGAAGCCCCCCTCCTGAGAGGGGGGATTCCCCAGGCTCTGCCCCTCTGCATTTCCCAATAGCTCCCCTAGTCTGGGTTCACAGACTTCCCTGGACTCAGGGGTGAGGGGCTCCATCACTGTTGAGTTTGTCTAATGTTTTCCTGTGCAAATTTTCATCCTGAGAAATCCAGTCTTCAGGGTTCCCTTCTTCTCACCAATTCCTGCGTTAGAATCTGAAATAAAAGAGAACAAGATCATCTTCCACCTTTGTTAACAGCCGTCTGCTGCAGCAGGTGGAGGATGAAATAAATGCATGCCTAAAAACAGAGAGGAAAGTGCATCCTCTGCCACCACTCTTGACTCAGCTCTGGCCTCAACTCAGCCTGTCCCGCATGGAAGGCTTCATGTGGCTCTGCTGCTAACACATTCAGCTCCATAGCAGACTGGCTTGTGATGTAAAGAGCTCCTCTGACCCCCAGTGAATCCCGGATGAGAAACAGAAGGTAGGGAAGGGCTCAGACTCTAAGATCATTAAGACATATGTTTCCTAAGAAACACACAAATGTAGTAGACCTCCCCATTCTTGCATCCCTCCCCCCATCACCTAAGGCCTCATGGTCTACAGTGCTGCAGTCACTTTAGGTTCCACATTATAGTAGTCCCCTTGCACATACTCCAAGCTCCCTGCCCTACCACACTTTTGTGGGAATTGCCTCCTGATCTGTGTCTGCATTCATGCCAAATGAACTCTCTTTAATGTCAGAGCCCTTGCCTAAGGGGGCCCTGAGAATCGCTGGCAACTTTCTGCACTTCCCCAACTTTCCTAAAGACCATCCTCTGCTTTGTCCTGTCTCCTTCAATGTCCAACGCTCCCTCCTTCATCTCTGCTTCTTTTTTTTGTTTGTTTTTGAGACACAGTCTCACTCTGTTGCCCTGGCTAGAGTGCCATGGCGTCAGCCTAGCTCACAGCAACCACAAACTCCCGGGCTCAGGTGATCCTCCTGCCTCAGCCTCCCAAGTAGCTGGGACGACAGGCATGCGCCACCATGCCCAGCTAATTTTTTCTATACATATTTTTAGTTGGCCAATTAATTTCTTTCCATTTTTAGTAGAGACGGGGTCTCGCTCTTGCTCAAGCTGGTTTCGGACTCCTGACCTTGAGTGTTCTGCCCGCCTCAGCCTCCCAGTGAGCTAGGATTACAGGCATGAACCACCACACCTGGTAATCAGCTTCTTGTTTCAACAAGAAAATGGCAGCAATGAGACAAGAATGTCTACTTCCTCCCACACCTACAACCCACCCATACCTATACCTAACCCCTGGTCCCCAGATACAAGGTTAAACTGTCATTGGTCCCATCTGAGGTCGACATCCCACTTGTGTGCTGGGGCTCTTCCCTTTCTCACCCACCACAAGACACCACTCAAGTGCCCACCCCTTTGCTCCATCACAACCCCCTGCCCTCCCAGCACCATGCCCATCAGCACACAACAAATCTGGGCTTTCCTCCCACCTAAAAAGTAAACTTTCTGGACCCTATTCCCCA